GAGGCAGGTGGTCTCCACCTTATTTGCACAGAGATCTCTGCTTTGCCACCTGTGACATAGGGAGACGGGAGGGATAAACTCAATGAAGTAGAGGCCCTTCCAAACTCAGAAATCCCAAGATCCCCAGGACCGAGAGGAAGGGACAAGCCCATCTGGACACGATTTTCTCCCTTCCAAAGAGAAAGCAACCCCTCGGACTCTCCCACTCCCACCTCCTCAAAATTTAACACTGGAGAGAGAGCATATTGCTTGTCCTCCTCTCTCCAGGGAAGAGTCTCTCTGGGGGACACTTTTACATTTGCGAGGTGCTGGGTGAAACAGCAAGAGTTTTCAACGTGAAGATACAGAGGTTCGAATCCCAGCTCTGTCCCCTACTAGCTGTGTGGCATCGGGCAAGTTGCTTCCCCTCTCTGAACCTCAATGTCTTCATCTGTATATGAAGATAGCAATAGCCCCTACCACAAAGGTTGTTGTAAGGAGTCGATGAGATAGTGAAACTAACTAACGTGCTTGCTCAAAACTGGCACATGCTCCGTTAATATCAGCTACCAGAACTGCTACTACTACTACTGCTGTTGTTGTTGTTGTTGAAACCTTGAGCACAAAGTAAATGTTCTATAGACCTATGCCGCTTTCTTCCCTTACCAACTGTCACCTTGCCCTGCCTGCCTGTTGACCAAATATCTAGAGCAGTAGCTGGTTGACGTGTCTAGGGATATCTCCGTATCCCAGGGAGAGAGACTTCTAGAAGATGCCCCAGGGCAGAACTCAGGCGACCTCCAAGGTTGAACCCAAGTCCAAGCACGTGCCGTCGCATCTGTGTAAATTCCCCACAGCCGCCACCCGTGATTGCAGCATTAATATGTCTGTGTTCCTCTTAGGTTAATGTATGTATTATTTATAGGGCTTTATTATGTGCTCAGAGGGCTCCCTGGAGAAATATAATTTTGCATTGGGAGGTAAATTTGAATAACATTTATAATTAATTTCCATCAATAAAGCAATGCGCCAAGGCCTCTGTGCAGCAGAAACGGGCCCTGGGTTGGTTTCCCACTAACCGCTCCCCTGAGAAAGCTTGGGTAGCTTTTAAACAGCTCTCAGACAGCGCACTTCTCCCAAGCACTACCTTTGTTGCTTCTGGCGTGGCTGGAACTGCATCCGAGACTGCTGCAGCCTCCAAGCCCCGCTCCTGCCCTCCTCCAGTCCACCCCACTCCACCCCCATCTGGTCCCACATCAGCCCCCCCTGCAGCCCGCTCCTGTGCTGACCCCACCCGCAGCCCCCTCCTCCCACATCTTCCCCCCAAATCAGTGCCTACCCCTCCTTCCCATGAGGGCTCAAGGGCCTCCTCCCCGAGGAAGTTCCCTTGGTCTTTGATCAGGGTCCCTCTATAACATGTGTGTAGCACTTGCTGCGGTTGTTTCCCATGGAGGGGGACATACTTTTTTATTATCGGCCATCTCTCCCACCAGCCCATGAGTGAGCTCATGAGGCCAGAGACTGTGTCTGTCTTGATCATCCCTGTGTCCTCAGTGCCTACCACAGGACCTGGAAGAGAGTAGGTCTTAAACACATTTTCATGGAATGGATGAATGGAGGAGATATACAGATGGCTACGTAAACAAATGGGTGGATGG